GCAAGCAGCTAAACTGATTCTTGTCTCAGAGAGAAATACTTATAGCAGGAAATGCATTTGTGAAGATTCACCAGATGTACCGGTATGTGCTGTAGTGTTGTGAAAAAATACAGACACACCTACGCTGAAGCGTTTGGGCATCAGTGGTTTCTCCTCCAGCTCTGGAATTCCAATTCCTATTAACTCGCATCCAGCTTAGCCTTATGCTTATCATAGGATAAATCAATTCTAAATGGGAAATAAGATTAATGCTGATCTTCTTCATCCTTTTCGCGTCCATCAATGTGCTAAAAAGTTTGTCTGATTTATACCTGACTAATATAATTTATTTTGGAGGCCACTAACACTGTACGTGTGCGGCAGACCTGTTTTTAAGTGAACCTAATTCAGAATTGCCAAGATCCTGGTTTTGCATCTGAGGCTACAAGAAGGACGCTGATGCAACGCTATTGCAAACAGAGTCACAAGACCCAGGCAGAGAAATGATGAAACAGCTCCTTCCCTTGTCTGCTTCAAGATAAAGATCAATAATGTGAAAGTTCAGCCATCCGATACCTTTCAACATTTAGACTGCGATATTTCAAACACTGTTGCACAATGACCACGTTTTTCAAACAACAGACAAGAAAGGCAAAATAAAAAGTGGCAACAGAATTACACGGAAAGTAGCTATTTAACTGAAAATACACAACTCTAAAATGCCTCTTCCTTTTTTTGCAAGGAAGATTCTCCCCCCCCCCAAACACAAACCAGGCAGAACCAAAGGAACACCAGGTTACATCTTACCCTAAATTTTAAATCTCTGCCCAGAAACCCAGAAAAAAATGCAAGATTTCTAATTTTCCTTATGGGAGGTTTAATGTGTGTGTTGTTTTTTTAAAAAAAATAGATCTTAAAAAAGCATCACGTTTCCAAAGCAGGGTTGTCAACTTGCACAGTCCAAAAATGAACTCTTAAGTTCATTTTATGGTGGAAATAAATACAGGTAGTCCTTGACTTAGCTGTCAAAATTGAGCCTGGAATTATGGTCGTAAGTTACTGCAGCCCATAAGTGGGTCGCCATGTGACTGGACCTGATTTTACAACCTTTTTTGCAACAGTCGTTAAACGAATGGCAGTCATTAAGCAAATCAGTTTTACCCAATGGGTGGTGGTTTTTTTTGCAACTGGAAGAAGTTGCCAGAAACCAGCAAAAAAAGTTTAAAATTGCAGTCCTGTGATAGGAAGCTGCAAGTGGCTGTAAAAGTGAGTTGGTTGCCATGCGCCCAAAATGTTATCATATGACCATTGGGAGAGGGGGTTTGCAGCCGTCAAAACTTTGAAATTGGGTCATAAGTATTTTTGGGGGTGTCCATCATAATGTTGAATAGTTGCTAAGTGACTATCTGGGGACTGTCTGTAGATGTAACAACAATTAAGTTATCTTTGATTGTTTTTCTCCCTGAATTATGGGAAATACCTGAACGTGTAGAAAACTAGCATGTTGGTTTTTCTAATTTTTCTAGATTCAGGTTTTTGTTTTTGTTCTGTTCAATCATGTCCGATTTGAAAAAACTGCCCGAACAAGCTCGGCAGGTACTTTCCAGTGAAAAAGCATTCAAACAGAACTTGAACAATCGAGAGAGAGGAAAAAATTATTTTGTGTCTTGAGTGGATTGGGCCACTTAGGTGAAGTCTACTACAAACCTATTTATTCCCTGCTCGGGGATGCTGCTAAGTCTGTTTTGCAAATGTGGAGTTGGGTGGGGGAAACAGATTCCAATCCTGGAATTAACCAGCTTTCTTATTAGCGGCTGGAAGTAGTAATTTACCCTTCATTATGCATCATTTGCCTTCATCTTCCTCTCCATCAACTTTGTAACCTCCTCTTGTTAAATATCAAATTATAAAAGGCTGCCCTGTAGGGACTTTTGTCTTCCGCAATTCATTAAACAAAACACAGGAGAGGAAGGTGACACTGTATGCATATGTCATTAAAAAGCCAACTTTTTATACAAGCCCCCATTACAATCCCCAGTTGTATATTAAATGATCTACTGCACATGTACACATACCTCTCCNCCTCCTCTTGTTAAATATCAAATTATAAAAGGCTGCCCTGTAGGGACTTTTGTCTTCCGCAATTCATTAAACAAAACACAGGAGAGGAAGGTGACACTGTATGCATATGTCATTAAAAAGCCAACTTTTTATACAAGCCCCCATTACAATCCCCAGTTGTATATTAAATGATCTACTGCACATGTACACATACCTCTCCCTCTAAAATAATCATCTTATACACACCCTATTTACAATCCCCAGTTGCATACATAATAATCCAGGGATGCATAAATATATATACATAAAAACAGACCCTAGATTATGTTCTCTCTCCCTTTCTATGTGTGTATGTGTGTGTACACATAAACACCAACATACACATTCTCTGTCTCTTTCACACATATACTACACTGTACATATATATACATGTACCCCCCCCTCTAAAATAATCATCTTTTTATGCACACTCCCTCACTTAACGGTTCCCAGTTGCATATAAAATAATCTAGGGAAGGAGAGATAGATAGATGGATAAATAGACAGACAGAGACAGAATAGATAGATAGATAGATAGATAGATAGATAGATAGATAGATAGATAGATAGATAGATAGATAGATAGATAGATAGATAGATAGATAGAAAGAAAGGGATAGAGGTAGGTAGGTAGGTAGAGGTAGGTAGGTAGGTAGGTAAGTAGATAGGTAGGTAGGTAAGTAGATAGATAGATAGATAGATAGATAGATAGATAGATAGATAGATAGATAGATAGATAGATAGATAGATAGATAGATAGATAGATAGATAGATAGGCAGGCAGGCAGGCAGAAGAAATAGGAAATAAATGACAGAAATACAGATAGATAAAGGCAGAGGATAGATAAAAAGATACAGATACTATGTATCTCTGTGTATAAATAAGACAACCTATTCTGTATACACACCTATTCTGTGTATAAATAAGACAACCTATTCTGTATACATATACATAAATAAGACAACCTATTCTGTATACAGATGTATACACATATACATCTCTGTGTATAAATAAGACAACCTATTCTGTATACACCCACACCCACACACAAAAACTGTGCACACCAACTCAGATGCACCCCATCCCTCTCCCTCCCAACTCTCTTTTCCTACCCACTCCCTTACCACCGATGCACTGATACACGTGTACACACATCCCCACGTAATACTCCCCCCCCAACACCCTTGTTTCGTTCCAGCCACCCTCCCGGCCCGCGCACCGTCGAAGGGCGGCTCGGCGCCGGGCTCCGCCTCGGGGAAGCCGATGACGGCAGCGGCGGCGGCGGCGGCCCGCGGCCTCCCAGCCCCGCCGATGCTGAAGTTGGCCTGCCTCCGCCACATGGCCGCGCTCCGCAACGCCAACGCCGCTGCTCCGCGGCCCGGCCCGGCCTGCCTGCCTTCCTCCCGCGCTAGGCCCGCCCGCTTGCCTGCCCGCCCGCTCGGCCGGCTGGCAGGGCGACGCCCCCTGCCTGGCCCGTGTGCCAGGCCGCCACTACACTGCCCATAGTCCCCGGCCGGGCCTGGAGGGCGAATCCTGAGGGCGTGCGGGGGGGGGGGAGAAGGCCGCAAATAATCCCTTCATTTTATTTTTAAAAATGGATTTTATTTATGAAATAATTAGGGTTATTATCAAATGTGTGACGATTGTGGCTGGTCAGCCAGATGTTCAGGCTGGCCTGGGCATTTTTGCCCACCTATCCAGGCCTTCCCGAGGACCTGGGAGAGGCAGATGTGGTCGTTTGATGGTGCTTAAAAGGTCTCCTGCAGAAGGGAAGCTATTCCTAATAAAGCTGGCTTTTGCAATTGACGAACGGTGATTTTTTTGTCCATGCCGATGGTGTTCGATGTTGTTATAATGGTTGGTGGTGGCCCAATCAGCCAGATGTTGAGACTGGATTTGGCAGTTGTGCCCTCCTATCAAGGCCTTCCCAAGGATCTGGGATAGGCAGATGTGGATGTTTGATGGTGCTAAAAGGTCTGGTGCAGAAGGGAAGCTATTCCTAATCAAGCTGCCTTTTGCGATTGACTACCGTAATTTCGTCAATGCCATAGTGTTCAAGTGGTACTCCAGATGTTTTGCAATTGTACCCAATGGGTCTATTATTATGATAATGATACATTGCACTGTCATCCAGATGTTGAGACTGGGTTTGGTATTTTTAGCCCGCCATCAGTCCTTCCTAAGGACCTGGGGTTGGCAAATGTGGTTGTTTCATAATATTAAAAAAATATCAATAAGATTAAATATCTTAATATTAAAATGAATTAAAATTTGTAATTACAATGCTAAAGGCAGGATGTAAGCTGTTCTAAATCAAGCTGCCTTTTGAAATTGACTAGTGGTGATTTTGTCCATGCTGATGGTGTTTGATATTATTATAATGGTTGGTTGGCCAATCAGCCAGATGTTGAGACTGGATTTGGCATTTGTGCCCACCTATCGAGCCCTTCCCAAGGATCTGGGATAGGCAGATGTGGATGTGTGATGGGATTAAAGATTTCCTAAATTTTTCCAAGGGAAGCTGCCTGTACCAAGGAATCCAATAAAATTAGGTCAGGTAAATACAGCGCAGGTTATTCAAAAGCCTGTTCCAGCAAGTGAAGGATGCATGGGTACAAGTATATATCTGGAGATGTTTTTAAAAGACTGCTCATGTCAAAAATGAGAAATGAATATTAACGAGAACAGCTAACTTTATTATAATTTGCGTTTAACTGAAATAATAAATGCATTCCCGCTGCTAACATAGCATTCAGATCAATTATTTTATTTAAATTTGGATGGGACCTTACATGATAAACCTATGCGACATTAATCTCATTAAACTCAGCAAGACTGATTTTTGCTGAATTTCATCCATGATGTTTTTTTGGATTGGGTAGAAAAGATGCTTTTTAATTTGAGTATTCAATAGGACATCTTTAAAAAAAAAAGGCATATTTTACGCAGGAGACATCTGTGTCAAGCTAATGGGGCCATCCATTTCCCTGGAGAATATGTAGTTCAGGAACTCAGCAAACAGAGAGGTGATTAATTAAATCACATCTTCCCGCTAATTGAACGTTATGCTGTAGTGAAGCCTTCTGCTTTTTTCAGGAACTGTAACAAAATTTTACAATAGACACACTCCTGTTCACCTTGATCTTTTTCACTCATTGTAGTTTCTATGAACTTTCTGGAGGACTTTTGGGTCTCTTGTCAAAACCTAACAGATTTCAAAAGTGAATGCCTGGTGAGGGCTATTAAAAGCACATCTTTTTATCATTTCTTTTCTTCCCAAGAACAGAGATATTTGTGGAGGAGACATAGAACTGAAAATGACCTAAAGGGCTAATTCAGCAAGAGGTCTTTTTTTTTTTTTTTGAAATAGGCAGGAAACATGGGGTATCGTTTTGATAAGCTCCTATGAGTTGACAGTGCTCATGAGGACATGATTTTTGGAAATGTTGGCAGTAAAAGATAAGGGTGTGAGAGTGGGATTGTACCTGCTTCAGTATTCTGAATTGTGAAAAATGCCTGATTAAATGAATGACTGAACCGCTCTTAGCAGTGACATTAATAGATGGCACTACTCAATATTTCATATATTTGTTTTAATCTGTTAGATCAGGGATAGAATTAGCCTGGGTCCCTCTAATTATGTTCAATTTTAGAAAAAACGTGTTGCATCTAAAATCGCAGCCTCTGTCCAAATGGAAAGAGTAATAAGCAACCTCAGGGCCTCCACATGAGTTGAACTTAATTCCATTAAGTCGAATCCATATGGCCTGCAAAGAAATATTAGCGAATCCAAAACTGCTTGATTCGAAGCTGCTAGTCCTCACCTTTTTCCTACTCTTCTGTTTTCAATTCCACAGCTGTTCTAACGAGGTTTTCTGGAGCTTCCCTATAGAGGAGCATTCTATCAGGAAATCTCTCAGCCTTATGTCCATTGCTTTCATCAAGTCTCACAGCTCCTCACTCTGTGTATCTTCAGAACAGAACAATCTCCTTCAGCTCCGAGTTCTTTCTTTTTCTTTCTGGTGCCTTTCTAAATAAAACCTGGCCAAGGATGCTAGTCCCTAAGATTCCTTTCCACATCCCTGGGGAAGCAGGACTGCCCTGGTGGGAGATTGGCAAGGGTCTGCCGGAGATGGCATGGGAATACCACTACCACTTCCACTGGGGATGATGGGATGCTGGGAAGGGGGGGACGCAGCCTGCCATCCTGGGGAAGTCAGGGGGAAATCAGGTCTGGGTTTCCCCTTGCGGCTCAATCCAATAACCACTGCAGGTTGTCTGAGCTGGAAAAAACAAGGCATGGCCAGACTGGAGGATGGGAGACCACCCGGCAATCGCGAGAAGCCGTCCAGGTAAAAGAAAACATCTTGCTTTCAGATGTTATGGGTGCTCCATCACTGGAGGTTTTCAAGAAGAGACCGGACAGCCAATTGTCTGAAATGGTAGAGGGTCTCCTGCCCGAGGAGGGGGTGGACTAAAAGACCTCCAAGATCCCTTTCCACTCTGTTATTCTGTTTAAAAAAAAAACTTCCCTTGCTCAGCCGAGACCCAGCAATCATCATCTTCTTCTTCTTCTTCTTCTTCTTCTTCTTCTTCTTCTTCTTCTTCTTCTTCTTCTTCTTCTTCTTCTTCTTCTTCTTCTTCTCCTCCTCCTCCTCTTCTTCTTCTCCTCCTCCTCCTCCTTCTTCTCCTTCTCCTCCTCTTCTTCTTCTTCTTCTCCTCCTCCTCCTTCTTCTCCTTCTCCTCCTCTTCTTCTTCTTCTTCTTCTTCTCCTCCTCCTCCTCTTCTTCTCTTCTTCTTCTTCTCCTCCTCCTCCTCCCCCTCCTCTTCTTCTTCTTCTTCTTCTTCTTCTTCTTCTCCTTCTTCTCTCCTCCTCCTCCTCTTCTTCTTCTCCTTCTCCTCCTCTTCTTCTTCTCCTTCTCTTTCTCTTCTCCTCCTCCTCCTCCTCCTCCTCCTCCTCCTCCTCTTCTTCTTCTTCTTCTTCTTCTTCTTCTTCTTCTTCTTCTTCTTCTTCTCCTCCTCCTCCTCCTCCTCCTCCTCTTCTCCTTCTTCTCCTCCTCCTCCTCCTCCCTCTGCCTCTCTTCTCCCCCCTCCCACCAAGCGCGCGGCCGGGCCCCGCCCAGGCGCCTGCGCGCCCCGCAGCGCCCCCTGCCGCCGTTTCGCGGGCAGCGCCGCCGCTGGTCCCCGTGTGACCCAGAGCCGCGCCGGGCGCCGAGCCCCGGATGCAGGAGGCCGGGCGGAGCGGGGACGTCATTGTTCCCCGACACGGGCGAAGCAGGAGGCGGAGGCGGAGCGGGCGGGCAGGCGGGCGGGCTGAGGCCAAGAGCGACCCGGCAGCGCCGAGCCAGGTAACTGAAGGCGGCGGGAAAGCAGCGGGCCGCGCAGGAGGAGCGGCAAGGCGGGCGGGCAAAACACGCTAGGCCGCCGCCGCTGCCGCCGGCCTGCACAGCCTGGCCGGGCCCGGCCCGCCCCCCTGCTGGGGCTGAGGGAGCGCCCCCTCCCTCCCTGCCTGGCCCCGCCCCCTCCTGCCCATCCCCACGCGGGGGGGATGCCAGGCGCCCCTCCTGGGGAGGCGGGGGGGCCGGAGGGCCGCGGGAGGGGCCCCTCCTCCTCCTCCTCCTCCGGGCCCGGGGGGGGGCGCTTGGGGGAGGGAGGGGTGTCTCCACGCGCCGGGCGGGGGTCTCGCCGCGCTGCCCCCTCCCCGCGTGGTTTGGCGGGCTCCCTCCGCGCGCTCCTCCTCCTCCTCCTCGCCCCCGCCCGGCCTGCAGATGGGGAAGGCATCCTCGCCGCTGGGGATGATGGGCTGTGCAGGGCGAGCCCCGGGCCGGGGGAAGAGCGGGGGGGGGTCCCTCTGGCCGGCCGCTGACCTGCCTCCCCCCCTCCCCTCCCGCTGGCTGGCTGGCTCACCTGCCGCAGTGAACAATGAGCCCACCTGGATGGCGGGCTTTTTTGGGGGGTGGGATGGGGGCGCATGGCGGGGATCGATCCTGGTTGCCGTCCGCGTTTCTGCCGCCGGCGGGAGCCCCGCGTGGTGGGCTCGGCCGGCGGAGCCTCCTGGAGAGACGGCCTGGGGCTTCGGCGGGGAGGCGCCTCCCGGGCTGCGGGTGCACGAAGCGGGCACAAAGGTCTGCAGGGGGAGATCTTGATGGCGAAGGGAGAGAGACCTTGTGTGCAGAGGGAGATCTTGTTTGCAAGGGGAGATCTTGATGGCAAAGGGAGAGAGATCTTGTTTGCAAGGGGAGATCTTGTTTGCAAGGGGAGAGAGACCTTGTTTGCAGAGGGAGATCTTGTTTGCAAGGGGAGATCTTGATGGCAAAGGGAGAGAGACCTTGTTTGCAGA